CATAACTTTTCTGTCCACCCCCAGCCACTGGAGCGGAAGCATTAAGTGATTCTGAAGACAGCACCCCCACCGTCATGATTGTTGTTGTTGTCATTGTCATCCTCATCGTCATCGTTGTCGCTGCTGTCGTGGTCATCGTTCTGAGTAGGAGATGGAGAAGGGATAGAGCCGCTGGTGAGTCAAAGAGATGTTGATGCTGTTGTTGTTGTTATTCCAGGTGCTGTTGTTGATGTTGTTTTTGTTGTTGTTATTGCTGTTGCTGTTGATGTTGTTGTTGTTCCAGTTGTTGTTGTTGAGGTTGTAGTTGATGTTGTTGTTGTTGCTGTTGATGTTGTTGTTGTTTTTTATGATGCTATTGTTGTTGTTGCTGTTGTTGTTGTTGTTGTTTATGTTGTTGTTGTTGTTTTTGTTGTTGTTGCATGTGAGTGTGGGTCTATCAGCCCAAAGCCAGAGAGTTAAAAATATCGTTGTTTGTTCTGAAAATGTGGTTTACTTTGTTACTATTGTGAAAGGTGTTGTCGTAGTTGTAGTCATTGTTATTGTTGGTGTTGTTGCTGCTGCTGCTGCTGCTGCTGCTGCTGTTGTTGTTTTTGCTTTTAATCTCATTGAGACCACACACTCTAGCAATACCCGTTCATTACTCAGAACTCCGGCATTTAGACTTTTGGAATACAAATATAAGCAAAGGGTTTACTTTTGCTCTTCTTATGATCTAAATTACATGACACCACCATCTCCCCCCAAAAAGCAACAACAACAAACAAACAAGCGAACAAAAAAACAAACCCCAAAGAACATATTATGTGAATAACGTCCCTGTCACAAACACAGTCAGACTCCAGCTGAACAGAAAAAACAAACTAAACAAAAACAAAAAGAACTTTGGAAGTGTTGGAAGAATTTTCGAAAAAACGAAAGAGTCTCATTTCCCTTGAAAAATATTGCTTTCTGGGCTTAAAACCTTCCAACCAGGGGCGGCTCGTGGGGCTAAAAAGTGGGCGTGCACAATAATAATTAAGCTAACGCATGCTGAAGATTGTCAAGGGCATAGTAAATGAGACGGTGTATAATTTTAGGATCTTTGGGTTGGTGAGGGAGGGCCTCGTGCTTTATTTTAATTCTTTTTACTCGTCGCTTTGATTTCTAGTACTAAATTTGTTTGTTGGCTAAACATCAATTTCGTTCATCCTGTATTGGAACTGAACACTCAAGTGTATGTAATAACTTTCACTACTCCAGTTCAAAACCATTCAAAGGCACAACTCATAGGACGATCACGTTCACCTCCCTCGGGTTCACGGTTAGCGAGTCACTTAAAATAGGCTAGTGGCGAAACAAACAATGAACCAATCATGATTCACTTGAGCACTCCGCTGGATTGCTCCCAGGCTCACATAATATGTTTCGGCACTATTCGGCAGGAGCCCATTTGAGATGTGCCGGCTTATTAATATTAATGTACCGCCAAACTAGCTACGAGTGTCGCCATCGCTTTGGTTATCCCCAAGAGTGATTTATAGGTCAGGTTACACCGTTCAATTTCCTTTTCTGTTTAGCTAAAGCGCATGGACTTTGGCATGGCATAGTAGATGTTTTACGGCGCTATAGACATAGAAATGACAGTTATAACGCCAGTGAGGACCTTTGTATAATATTTGGCTAGTGTTTGTTTCTGGCTTCTTTTATTTTATTATTGTGGGTGTTTTACGTAATAGAATATTGAAACATTTTGGACGGCACTGCACGACCGTGCTCTATGGACGAACCGCGCCTGCTTGAAAACTTCAAAGCCCAGCAGAGTGCGCTATAGGATATTCAATTTCAGCGAAAACAAACAAAATAACTCAGTATTCTTTCCCACATGCCCGCATTCAGACAGGCTCTCCCAAGATGACCCGTCCACGTATCCCAGGGATGCGACATTGGTCATGGAACCAGTAGATGACCCACGGCGGGTCATAGGTCAACCGACTGAGACGGGCAACAGTTCAGGTGGGGGATTTGTCTTGCTTTCATTTGGTCTCTGTCTTGCCGTCATTTTAAAAAATACGGTATAGGCAGTTTTTACAATTTTACAGGAGAGCTCAAAGAGCTAATAAATAGTACTGTATATAATCTCTTTGGGAGAGACAAAACCTGAATGTTGTTACCATGAAAACAACATTTGCTTTGAATATAATAAGGAAGTTATTATCCAAATTATATTTTCAAAAATGTTGACTAGGGATGTTTGCAAAGAGTTTGTTTTCTTGGTAACAATATTCAGGTTTTTGGCCCTTCTGTAAAATTGTAGAGACTGCATATGTGTCACGACGTGGTGGAATCAGGTGCTTGTCAATTTTTGGGCATGTGGAATTATTGGTATCATGTATTAGCTTATTCTTGCCTCGCTTTCACCAAAAAAAAATGCCTGTCTATCTTGAACAAAAGTCAAGATATTTGTGATTGAAGGAGGTGAGGTGGCCTGGTTTCAGAGATAAAATTATCGAGAAAATGGCCGCCAAAGTTTGGTTACTTCAATAGCTTCAGAGTCCGTGAAAACTGAAAAAATCACATATTTTGTGCCTTTAATGAATGTTTTTCAGTAAAATACGCGTGGAAACGAGGACATAAAAGGTGTTGAGCGGAAAAGCAAAAATTCTATAAAAATTGCAGAACTGGCGCAAAAATGCCTTTTTCTGAAATTTCACTATTATGTTGACGAGCGCCTGATTTCACCACGATGCCTCACATGTACCGTACTTTTAAAAATGACGGCAGTGTTGACATAACTGTGGTTTGTGTTGTTGCACTCACTGAAATGTATTCAATGAAAAAAAACATCTTTTAGACACAGAACCGACCAGATCAAAACCAGGGTATACAGGTATCTCTGTCTTCCTTCTAGGACAATGTGTCCCTCTCAACCGGGTTTAGCCGTTAATAATAATAATAGATAGCATTTGTATTGTGCAAATTCCTGCTCAACTGCAAACTCTATGCACTTTACAATCTATATTATTACCCCAGCAGACCTGATAACATTCTGAAAACATCTCTACTTCCTGGAAAGCGTACAAGTGTGACCAAAGCAGCCAGCCTCCTAGGCTATCTTAATTGTGTCACCACACTCGCAAAATCAGCCGAATTCAAAAAATTATTTATAGCCTGCCCACTTTTGAGGTGTAAAATTAAAACCATAAAAGGGTAGAAATATCAATAGAACAATTTCTTAGAACTTATAAATAGCACTCAAAAGAAATAATGGGGGGTTTGGGGGGGGGGGGGGGGGGTTTAAACAGTTTCAAAATTTGTAAACAGTACCAAAACAATACAGGGAAAGAAAAAAAACTTGAATGCACGCTAATAAATGGTTGACCTTGTGTACAAATGACTTCAGCTTTACCTGGTAGTAGAAATTTATGTTCCTAAATGCTCAAAATGGGATGAACTCTTCTGTGCCAGAATCGGTTTCCCTAGCTATAGCGAAAGCCGTGAGTCATCTTAATCCTCATTTCTTCTATTTCACTTAAGAAATTATATTCTCCTCTGCAGATACATTGGTCATTTTCCGACAAATAAGGAGGAATCATATTAAACTATTACTTACTCCTTAGAAAATTGAAACATTCAGATAAGTAAATGTCTTTTATGTAAAAATTTTAGGTGCTTTGCTACTAGTTCGTGCAAAAGACCTGGGTTCAATATCAGCAAGGGGGAAATTTATTCTAATTCCATTGCTTCGGTGTCTCTCTCCTCTGGTAGATTGGCCCTGGCAGACAGTGTTGTAGCAGAGTCATATCATTTCTAAAGAAAGAAAACTGTGTTGATGAGAGAGGAGACCATTTTAGTTTGTGCATATGTGCGTGCTTGCCTGCGTGCATCTGTGTGTGCATGCATGTGTGCATGCGTACGTGTGTGTTTGTGTGCATGTGTGAGGCTGGGGTTAAGGGTGGGGGTAGAGATCTAATTAAATTTCTCACTATTGCTTTTGGTTCTTTGCCCACAGGCCACGAATATGAAAATCCCTATGACGAAGTAAATGAAATGCCAGCGAGCGACATTCACACCCCTATCCCAATCATGAGTGCTATGGCGAAAATCGCCATTGCTTCACCGTCTCTCTCCACTGGTAGGTTGGCACTTGTCATAAGTGTGTACATCAATAGCTTAGACTGAATTGGCCAACTGTCTTGTGGTGCATCTATTTCATAACGAGACCCACTTGTGAATAAATAAATAACTTCCGTTACTACTCATTCTCACAGAGGTTTTGTGTTTGTGAGCACATTTCATAATTTATTTATCAAGCTAGAAACATAGCCAGAATGTGACAGCCCTGGCAGACACTGTTCTAGCTGAGTCGTATCATTTCTAAACAAAAAAAAACAGTGTTGATGTGAGAGGAGAGCATACATCCATTTTTAGTTCGTGCATGCATGTGTGCGTATGTGAGTGTGCGTGCGTTTGTGTGTGCGTACACGTGTGTGTTTGTGTATGTGTGTGCCTGCGTGCGTGCGTGTGTGCATGCATGTGGGCTTGTGTGCATGTGTCAGGCTTTGGATAACGGTGGGGGTTGAGAATTAATTCAGTTTCTCGCTATTGTTTTTGTTTCTTTTCCCACAGACCACGAATATGAACATCCATACAACGATGCAACATCTATGCTGGCGAGCGACATTCACACCCACGTCCTGATCATGAGCACTAAGGCAGAAATCGTAACACCTGAGGCTCCGCAGGCAAACACTGACACCAACCCCTACAAAAATGTTTCTGCCTCTGCACCAAGGTCAAGGGCGGGGCAGGAAGGTCAAGTTCGTGTCATAGATCCTGCTGGAGCTTATGACGTGTTAGCGGCCCCAGATAGTGTCGCTTTTGTTTCCGGTAAAATTACTTACTGTGTGAACTTTCCTAGCCTTTTGTGAACCTCACAGTAATCATCATCATCATCATTGTCATTGTCATCATCGTCATCATCATCATCATCATCATCATCATCATCATTAGCAGCAGCAGCTTCACTCTCTTTCTCGTTCCTTGTGGATTCTATCCTAAAGAGCACCACAATGCCTTAGTAATTTTTATTAATTAAAAAACTATTGACAAAATTAATGTAGGCGTGAGTGCTTGGGTGGAAGGCTGTCAGTTTAATACATTTGGATGACTTTGTAGCAAACTTGAGAGGAGGCTGTCGGTTTAATACATTAGGATGACTTTGTAGCAAACTTGAGAGGAGGCAGTCAGTTTAACACATTTGGATGACTGCAGAAAACTTGAGAGGAGGCTATCGATTTAATACATTTAGATGACTTAGTAGCAAACTTGAGAAAATCTAAGCAAATTTATCAAAGTTTTGACCCATAATCAGTATTTGTATCACAGTGCAGTGCGGTGGAATCAGGCTCTCGTCCATTTTGGGCATGTAGAGTTATTGGTATCATCTTCAAGTTTGTTCATTTGTCTTCCTTTGGATGAAAATAATATCCATTTATCTTGAATAGAAGTTGAGATATTTGGGAATAAAGGAGATGGGGGGTCACCTGGTTTTAGAGGTGAAATAAATGAAAAAATGGCCGCCAAAGATGAGTTATTTCCTTACCTTGAGAGTGCGTAAAAAATGAAAATTTACAGTTTTTGTGCTTTTAATCAACGTTTTTCAGTAAAATCCACACAGAAATGTGTTCTTTAATGGGAATGGACGTTGTTGAGCCAAAAAACAAAAATTCTATTAAAAAATTCACAAACCTGCAGAAAAGTGCTAGTTCCTTCTCTTTAACTATTTTGACGAGCGCCTGTTTTCACCATGCTGCCTCAAAACCCCCAAAAATTTCTGCTTAACCCGAATTATGATACAAGAAAAAAATTTGTAAAAAAATTTCAATGATTTTGCTACTAAGCATAGATAATATGGGCCTCATCTACATCAATGCAAAAATCAGGCTAATAGAGTAAATACTTTCTGAGAAATCTTAACTTATGTGATTGTATTTATTTATAGTAATGGCTCATTAATACGTAAAGATTTTCAATTTTAAGCGGAAACACTTTTTTTCACATGAATACTTACTACTCAATACATGTAACTTGAGAGGTGAGCAGAGTAAGCCTGATTCCCTGTTTGAACTTGTCTGTTGACATCCACCCCTTGCCGCTCATATGACCTTATGCAGTTGCAAGCGCTGTAACACCTCACTAAAAAAAAAAGGAGGGTGATTTGTAAGTGGGGATGTGGCAGTAGGGTGGCAGGGACTCGGAGTGGTAGAGAAGTTTTGACGGATACAGAGGCACAGAGAGTTAGAATTTGTGAAGCATCGTGGTGAAATCGGGCGCTCGTCACAATGTTGAAATCAAAGAAACTGGAATTTTTTTATAACCGTTGAGCAAGGGAGTGCTATTCCTATTCTTCTTCTGGAGAAACAAAAGAGAGCTTCAAAACAGTGACTACAGCGCTGTCAGAAGCAATACGCGGACTTCCACTGACATGTTTTTGGCTTAGTGAATCATCTCGTTTTTGAGTACGATTTTTGCTGTCAATCCAGGGATTCTGCGTATCGATTACAAAAAGTTTGGTATTCGAGACTACCTGGTGGATTAATAACTTTTCCTGGCAGCCTGTTGCAAGTACCAGGGTGAAAGAAGCAGAGAGAGAGAGAGAGAGAGAGAGAGAGAGAGAGAGA